ATGGCCCTGGCCCCCGAGTCGTGGCTGGACTTGCAGCGCATAGGGGTATTGACACGGGTGGTGACACCCTTTTCCCCCCGAGTTGAAGAGCCACATGCTTTTGCAAGCTCCCTTTACCTATAGTCTCCTGTGCCTCTGGGCCTGGGCTGGTGCAGACATCACAAGCACTGCACCAGGCACACACACAGCTAAAGTCACTGCACAACCACCCCAACAGGCCGGAGCACATCCAAGGCCCTTCTGGGAGTCTGAGCAGGGTGGGTAGGAGGGCGATGGGAGAGGTCCTGTCTGAAGTCCATCCCCATTGGGAGGGGGGCTGCTTCACTGGACTCTGAGGTAAGGGCCAGCCCCTTCTGCTTCAGCTCCATGTTACCTGACCAGGCCCAGGTCAGACATCTTGCTCAAAGGTGATCCCAACCAATGTTCCCAGTTAGAAATCCTTGGGGCTTTACGTCCTCCCCTACGAAATATTCCCCAAAAGAAAAAGAGGAGGGGAAGGCAAAGTGCTCTGAGTTCAGATGGGGACAGTCATCGTCTTCCAGGTACATATGTCCAGGACAGCCCACCATCAGCCTAGGAGGGTCTGGTGCCTGCTGCAGGCAGGAGCAAAGAAACCAAAGTCAGACCCCACTGGAGAGGAATGTGGTTTGTTGAACCTTTCCACATTCTGCCTGAGTGCCAGGTAGATGAACTCATCTGTAAAACTGCCACAGTGAGCCCTTGGACCCTCATCTCTCTCCTGCCAGAATCCATTCTTACCTGCCACAACCTTAAAGACTGTTCTGGAGAAACCAAATGTTCCCTCAAATGACATCACACAGTGAAAAACAAAACAAAACAAAACAAAGCCAAGGGCATAAGACTGGCTTACCATTTTGTGGGCTGATACCAAAGGAGAACTTTGAATTTATTTCTAATGCATTTTACCCATATTGGAAGGAAGCAGTGCAAGGCATTACATAATATCTGGCATGGAAAATACATCTTGCTATTTTGTCATCTTTCTTAGCTTTTTAGTCTGTGTATGGTCTTGATTTGCTGCAAGAAATCTAAATTTTAGGTAGTAAAATTGGTGAGGTTTTTAGATTCTTACTTTAAAAATATGCTTGGACAATAATTTTAATTTTAATTTTGATACAATCATCTATATTTTCTTCTGTTTATGTCATAATTTATTCTTACTAAAATCAGGGGTATATTGTATACAGCATTGGCTCTATGCTGTGTGTGCTAATTTACAGAAGAGCAGATTTACTGGGTGTGGGGTAGAACCCAGGTCTCTGCACTTTTAATAAGAGAAACCTGATATATAAAATATATAACCAATTTTGGGAGTCTTCCAGTCAAGATAGAGGCATAGATAAACATGGTTTGCCTCCTTGCACAACCACATCAAAATTACAACTAAACTACAGAACAACCATCACTCAGAACTGTCAGAAATCAAGTTGAATGGAAGTCCAACAAATGTGGAACTAAAGAAACCACAACCCTTCAGACCGGTAGTAGATGCAGAGACACGGAGACACAAAATGAGCTGGTCCCACACCCATGTGTGGTGGATAAAAATTCGGGAGGGATCTCTCCAGAGGGGGAGGTCCCAGCCCCACATCATGCCCCCCAGCCAAGGGTTCCAGTGCCAGGAAGATAAGCTCCCATAATTTCTGGCTATAAAAACCAGCAGGGATTGAGTTGGTGAAAAGAACTACTAGAATCCCAATCCATGCCTCTTAAAGGCCTAGCACAAGAACTTACTCAGGCTCACTTCCTCTGAGCTCCAGCACCAGGATAGCAGTTTGGGTGCACCAGTGGCATACGGGGAGGTACTGAACTGTCTGGTATCAGGGCAAGAGCTGTGGGGCAGCTTTCTCCCAGACAAAAAGGCGGGTAAAGGCCATTGTCCCTTTTCTGAGCCCTCCACCCACAGAGGTACAGAACTGGCAGGCAGGAGCCTTATCTGAGACTCCATCAACCTGGCTCACTGTTTTCCCCAACCCTGAGGAATCCCTGAGGCTCAGCCCCACCCAACTTAAGGCCCACCCAGGCTGTTAACAGTGGCTTTTACGTGTGAATGGCTAGTCTCAGCTCAGGCTTCACAGTTTCCTAAATCCTGTCAAACAAGCGACAGCCTCAGTGAGCCCCCGGCACCTGTACCACAGGCTAAGTGTCCCCAGGCCCAACACTAGCAGCAGCCAGCTTTGCAACACAGTTTGGCTTTGCCTGGGAACCTCCAGGCCCAGCACAAGTAGTGCCCATTTGCAGATATCTTTGTGGCTCATGCTGGGTGGCCCTGGGTGGAACACAGATGGTGGCTGACCTTGGCCTGCACCATCCAGGAAACACCAGAGCCTGTGCACCCTGTGGATAGCTACAGACTATGTTGGAACACACCACCCTGCTCCTGCACAGCTGATCCTCCATGGAGGGCAGAGGTTGGTAGTCAGTGATCACAGTCAGCCTTTGCAGCTAACTGGCCTGGCTAAATCCGTCCAACTGACCTGCCAACAGCAACCAAGCCTCAACTACAAGAGGAGGGTGTATTCAGCCCACACAGAGGGCACACCTTGAATACTCAGCTTAGGTGACTCAGCCCACATGGAGTGCTCACCTTTAGTACTCAGCTTAGGCTGTGCCACCTGACCCTACAGGATACCTACTACATTAGGCCACACTACCAAGACATGGAGTCAAAGCAGCTCTTCTAATACATACAGCAAACACAGGGAGCGTGCAAAACTGAGACAAAGAAACTTGGCCCAAATGAAAGAACTATCAAAACTCCAGGAAAAGAACTAAACAAAATGGAGATGAACAATTTATAAGATGCATGATTTAAAACATTGGTTACAAGGATGCTCAAGGAACTTAGTAAGAACTTCAACAGCATAAAAAAGACCCAGGCAGAAATGAAGGATATACTAATGGAAATAAATAACAATTTACAGGGAATCAACAGTAGAATGATGAAGCTGTGGATCAAAGCAATAATAAAGAATATAAGGAAGCAAAAAACAACCAATCAGAACAAGAAGAAGAAAGAAGAATAAAAAAAAAATGAAGATAGCGTAAATAGCTATTGGACAACTTCAAGAGTACCAATATTTGCAACATTGTGGTACCAGAAAGAGGAAGAGCAAAGAATTAGAAATCTATTTGAAAAAAATAATGAAATAAAATTTCCTTAATTTGGTGAAGGAAATAATCATGCAAGTCCAGGAAGCACAGAGTCCCAAACAAGATGGATGCAAAGAGGCCCACTCTGAGACGCATCATTATTAAAATGCCAAAGGTTAAAGATAAAGAGAGGATATTTTTTAAAAAGATTTTATTTATTTAGTTTTATAGAGAGGGGAAGGGAGGGAAACAGAGAGGGAGAAAAACATCAATGTGTGGTTGCCTCTCACGTGCCCCCTACTGGGAGCCTGGCCTGCAACACAGGCATGTGACCTGACTGGGAATTGAACAGGTGACCCTTTGGTTCGTAGGTCAGCACTTAATCCACTGAGCCACACCAGCCAAGATTAAAGAGAGAATCTTAAAAGTAGCAAGAGAAAAGCAGTTAGTTACCTACAGGGCAGTTCTGATAAGATTGTCAGCTGATTTCTCAAAAGGAACTTCGCAGACTAGAAGAGAATGGCAAGAAATATTCAAAGTCATGAAAAGCAGTGACTTACAGCCAAGATTGCTCTACCCAGCAAAGCTATCATTTAGAATTGAAAGAAAGATAAAGAGCTTCCCAGATAAGAAAAACTAAAGGAGTTCATCATCTCCAAACCATTATTATATGAAATGTTAAAGGGACTTATTTAAGAAAATGAATATCAAAACTATGAATAATAAAATGGCAATAAACATATACCTATCAACAACTGAATCTAAAAAAACAAACTAAGCAAACAAGAAGAACAGAGACAGAATCATGGATATGGAAAGCATTTTGATGGCTGCCAGATGAGAAAGCGGTTTGGGGAAATGGGTTAAGAGGTGAGGGGATTAAGAAGTACAAATTGGTAGTTACAGCCCTGGATGGTGTGGCTCAGTCAACTGAGCCCCATCCTGCAAACCAAAGGGTCATTGGTTCGATTCCCCCCTCAGGGTATGTGCCTGGGTACGGGCCAGGTCCCCAGTAGGGGGCATGTGAGAGGCAACCACACACTGATGTTTCTCTCCCTCTTTCTCTCCCTTCCCCCCTCTCTAAAAATAAATGAATACAATCATAGAAAAGAAGTACAAATTGGTAGTTACAGAATAGCCATGGGGATATAAAGGACAGTTCAGGAAATGGAGTAGCCAAAGAACTTACACGTATGACCCACAGACATGAACAAAGGTGTGGGGATTGTCTAAGAATGTTGGGGGTGCTGAGTGGAGGGGGCCATAGAGGGAAAAATTGGGACAAACGTAACAGCATAATCAATAAAATACAATTTAAAATAAAATATATAACCAATTTTAATTTAAAATGGGGACTCAATCCCTCCCCGCACTGTGATCCTTTTGCAATTGCAAATCATACCTTCTAGAGAAGTTACCACACTCAGTGAAGCTTACATAGCCAAAAACAGAATTAGGGTTCATGACTGAGTCATACTTTTAAAAAATTACTAACTACTATCTGTGTTTCTATAATTAACTGGATTGCCCTGACTAGCTTGGCTCAGTTGGTTGAATGTAGTCCCACAAAGCAAAGGGTTGACGGTTCAATTCCCAGTCAGGGCATATGCATGGGTTGTGGGTCTGTCCCCAGATCAGTCATGTGCAAGAGGCAACAGATTGATATTTCTCTCACACATTGATGTTTCTCTCCCTCTCTTTCTCCCTCCCTTTTCCTCTCTGTAAAAATAAGTAAAATATTTAAAAATAAATAAATAAAATACAATTAATGGGATCAATAGAACAAAACCATAGGTTTTATAAGTTTAACAGAGAAATCATAATATCTGATACATACACACATATAATGTATATGCATATACATAGTACTTTAATGACTTTCAAAGTGTTATTGTTGATGTGGGTGGGGTAGAAGAGAAAACTCTTAGGTTGAGCCTTACCTTCCTCTTTAGTGTAGACAATTTGAGCAAGTCAGCAGAATTGATAAGGCAAGCCTGATAGAGGAGAACTCACCCTAAAGGAAGTGTTAGGCAATGAAAACCAAAATCCTTGGAAATTATTTGGGAAGGAAGTTCCAATTCCAAGTATACAGCTCGGTGTCTGGCTCACAAATTTGTCTCCTAGCCCAGGTCTCAGTAAACTCATGTTTGAGTCCAGAGGAGAAAAGGGAGGCTTTCAGGAAAGAAAAAAAAATTGGAAGGACTATTTTGCTAAGAATTCTTTAAGACATTGAGGCTAAAGTAGCACTGGGATGGTATCCACCTGGATAAATATAACTATTATTACTTATTAATATAAGGGACATTCACTGAATATTTATAGGAGACACAGTTTAGCTTTGGCCCAGGAGGGCCTCTGGAGCAATCATTGAGGCTTTGCACCTAGAGTGCCCTGTGATAAGTGACACGGAGGGAGAAGGACCAGGAGAAGGGGCAGCTGTGCCCAGCAGACATGGCAATATCCAAGGGAAGAGAAATGCAGGTCAGGAATAGAATGTGGTTGGGGTCCTGCATGTTGCAGGTGGGGATAAAACAGCTCATTGCATCTTTACCTCATTTGGTTCCACAGCAGCCCTGTAAGTCAAGTATTATTCCTATTTAAATGGGAAAAGATTAACCCTTAAACAAATACATATTTCTGCCTAAAAGATTCTGAAGAAACATGGGATTTACTTATTTAAAGTTCTGACAAGTATTTATTAAGTGCTACATTGCCTTTATAAGCTGATAGACAGTGTTTAAATTCCTTTACATTTTCCCCATTATATTGGGGGCTGATTTTTTGCAACACAAGTAAAATGTGTTCCTCTTGAAAAAAATGAGAAGTTCCAACAAAGAAAAACAAAAAACCAGAAGTCACCTATTATCTTACCACACAGATAGCCACTGCTTTAAGCATTTGAAGTATATACCTTCAGGGTTTTTTGCATATTAATATATAAATATACATTTTTTTTACAAAAATGGGATACTACATATATTTTTCGAAAATTGCTTTTTTCACTTCACAATATATAACGTCCATCTTTCCATGCAAATAAGTGAGACTCCTGATTGAAAGAGGGAGGCTTGCATATTGGGAGAGTTGGGGAGGAAGCCCAATTTTACATGACTTACAAGTGGAACACCTTAAGTAAAGCCACCCAAAAAGTTAAAATTAAAAAGATGGCGAGAGGGATTTGAGAAACGCAAAGGTCAGGTGGCAATACTGAAATCAGGCAGACCAGCATTGAAAGCCAGACACATTAAATAGGATAAGGACGGTTCCGTCTTGCCTTCCAGTGCATAATCATCAATTTGTTTCGTACTCTTTTCATCTCTTCCAACTCCTCTGCTACCTTTATCATCTCCTCATTGCTCAAATTTCTGCCATGTATATCCCCTTTAAATTGTGGGCGAGAGCGAGCCAGCCTTTCCTTAAAGCTTCCTTCTTCCAGCTTATGTTTTCCCACCCCGCAAGGAGGCTGCTCCATGGGAGGGTGCGCCTGGAACAGGTCCTGACGAGAAAGGCGCTCCTCAGGGGGGCGCTCCTCCGACACCAGCATCTCGGGAAGGAGCTCTGGAAGAAGCTCCTCAGGAAAGAACTCCTCCTCAGAGGACTGCTCCTCCGAAGACAGCTCCTCTGGACACTGCTCTTCCGGCGAGTGCTCCGCCTCAGGCTGCTCCTCCTCCGACTTGGGCGCGCTCTGTGGCTGTTCTTCATCTGCTTGGCAGGATTTGTCCATGTTGTGAATGGTCTTCATAAGCACAAATATTCAGAAGAGACAAGAAAAACAGAGTCGAGTCAGCATACTTGATGCCTAGACCAAAACCCCGGCTTTGGGTTCTAAAAATCTGCCTTTTTCTAATTCGGGGCCCACATCCTCCCACCTACGCCGGCCGAGAGGCCCTGGCCCCGGGAACCCCGCCCCCTCTCTCCCTAAAGCCCACCATTTTCCCAGCAGGCCTTGCCCCGGGCCTCTCCGGCAGGGGCGGGGCGGTGGCGCTGCCCACTCGGCTCCCACCGGCGTCCTCCTGCGCACGCCATCCCGGTCCCCAGCCCACCCCTTCCCGGACCCGGACCTCTCCCGGTTGTTTGCTCTCAGGCGCTCCCTCCTCGAGGTGCCCCGCTGTAACCTGCAGACCTGCAGACAGACTCCAGACAGGGTAGGGGGCGGGCAAGTGGGGAGGGAGGAAGGACTGAGTGACACTCATGCCCTCTTTCTTGCCACGAGCCGCCGCCTCCGCGCCTACTCTGGTTCCCTCTCCAGGGCTCCCCGCGCCGCCCCCTGTCTTTCCCCATCTCAAGCTTTATCCTTCGTGTCATTCCACCCTCACCGCAGTGCTCGTTATTTCTTTTCAGGCAGGACGTGGAAGCGAAAAGATTACTTAGAAACTATTGCTAAGTGTCTGTGACTCCCTCCCAGGGTTGGTCCACTCACCTGCCCACCCCAGCCCCGAAACCACCATTTTCTCTACCGAAGTGCGGTCGCGGGGCTGGCATAGGGAAAGGCCTAAACTGGCATGGGAAAAGGCCTGGACTCTCTGCCATCCCGATCCCAGGAGTTACTGGGAAGCACCAACACTCACACCGATTTCAGAGGACCGAGGGGACTTACTTCCTCCTGCTTTTCCCCTCGACCAAAGGGCAGACGGTGTCTTGACTGGCAAAAAGGACCAGGACGAGAGGGACTTGGGCAGACATAGGCTCCTGGTCACGTGAGTGCCGCGCGTCACCGCCGAGCTCAGATCCCCAGTTACTGCTTTGACCCGCAGCTGTACTGCAGCAATCTGCCAGTATTTCGTGACCCACAACGCAACAGGCGTCGTCACTCCCCTCTCTTTGTTTGTATTTGCCTTTTCCTGGTTACCAGAGACAGTCAGCATCCAGCTTTGGGGGTTATTACCTATTCCTCTTAGCAGCTTCCCCTGATAACACCTCTCCCATCATTCTCCCATCATTGGACACCAACGCCCTTTATTTCCCCTACAGTCCAGTTCCTGCATTGAAATTTGACTATTTCTCCGTAATAACGCAATATCATGTGCTACCTCTCCCAGTTTAAATCCACATCTCTAACTCCATTGTTTGCACGTAAGGCTCTGTAAACCTGGTTTGCATCTCTTGTCACTTGCATGGGAGACACGCTTTCACTTTTATATGATTTAAGAATTTTATTTTTTTTGTGAGCCACCAGACCTATAGTGCAAATAGAAGTTCCAGTCTAAATTGGTAATCATGCAGTTCTAGAACTCTAGAAAGAATTAAGTTTTAAAGTATGTAACTCTAAAAAGACTGAATATTTCAAATCTCATAAATCAAAATACACCTTTGTCCAAGGACAAATAGTCTAGAAACTTATTTATATCTGAAATGGGAGCATTTTTGGTGGAGAGTGTAACATTACTATGTGTGTGTGTGTGTGTGTGTGTGTGTGTGTGTACACACACACACACACACACACTATTCAGTCATTTTTTTGTATTAGAAGCAAGAGATTTTTCTGTGACTCAGGTCCTTAACCAGTCATCTCTTGGTGTTGCTGCTTGAGAAAGTTTATGTTCTTTAATTCAGCAAGTACTTGGGCTGTGGGACTGCTTGACCCAAAAAGATAGATTCAGCACAGAGGCCATTCATATTAAACTATGCAGTAATTCTGTTGACCACACACCGGGTAATGTAATTAAAATCATGCTAACATACTCAATTGTCATTAGAAGTCTGCATTTTTGGATCTAATGGTGTTTTATGACCTTTACCCTCATTCCTGCATCTCACCTACTCATGTCAACCTGGATGCTACTTTCTCATGGTGATGCCCTTTCTTCCAGAGAGCTGATTGTACCCTTTCATCTCTGTAGTTTACACTTTCATGGTAGGTGACAATCAGATCTGAAAGGATCTTGGGATTGATTTTCTCAAATCTGGGCTGACCATCTAGTAGTAAGTTTCCAAGCTAATTCATATGTGAAATTTTCCATTTTGTCACTTTTTATCCAACATCTAATTTACTTTGTGCTGAGATAGTAGAAAAACATATTAATCTTTATATTTTATCCATCACTGTTACTTTTCTTTTTTAAAAAATATTTTATTTATTTTTAGAGATTGGGGAAGGGAGGAGAAAGAGAGGGAGAGACACATTGATGTGCCAGAGGAACATTGATCAGTTGCTCTCACATGCCCCCAATGGGGGGACCTGGCCCTCAACCCAGGCATGTGCCCTGACCGGGAATCAAACCAGAGACCTTTTGGTTTGTGGGATGACATCCATCTCACTGAGACACACCAGTCAGAGCCATAACTATTAGCTTTTCAAAACCAAGTTTTATTATACATTCTTTATTTTTTTTAACCAAGGCTTGTCTTCATCATTTGCATAGTTTCTTTCTAAGAGGAGCCCCATTTCATGCATTTTTTTTCCATTTCTATCCTTTTTGTCTTACATGCTGTGATGGAGAGCTCACTACCTTAAAATGTACCCTATTGAAAGTTCAGACGTGGTTTTTTGTTGTCATTGAGCTGAAATCTTCCTCCCAGTAATTTATACACATTGAGCCTGGTTCTGCCCTCTGGACTGGAGTGGTACAAAACAAGTGTAAAATAGAAAAGTGCCTCTTACCCTGGGTAGTCTGACACCACCAGAATTAATGTTCTGGTTTTTTCCCCTTCCCTTCTGTGAGACTATCTACTTAACCCTTCTGCGACTCAACTTCCTCATCTGCAAAATTGGAGGCATTATAATACCTACCTCATAGGATTGGTAAGAGGAATAAATAGGTCAGTATATGTAAAGGGCCTGGAATAATACCTAGCATATAGAAAGCACTCTTATTAACATTTATTGAGCACTTATGTTCGACATTATGCTAACCACCTTTACTATGCTATCTCATTTAATCATTAAACAATTATGTTCTTACAAAAAAACTTCCCCAGTTATTTCACCTCTTTCTGACATGACATTTTTGTAAAGTCATTTATCATCTTACATGCTCCTGAATTTATAAATGTCTGAAAATACCGACTATTCTGACTAGTGTAGAATGAAGTGATTTTATCACATCCTTCATTCTAGAATAGCCATTATACATCTATAGATGCATCCTAGGATCATAGCAGATGTTGTGGTTACCATATCCAGTTTAAATTACAGTCAACTGAGACCCCCAGATCTGTTTCATACATTCCTGTTAATGTAGTTCTATAAGTCATTTTAGTTTTAACGCAAGTACAGAAGCTTCTATTTTTCTGGGTTAGATGTTGTCTTGTTAGATTCTCTCTCCATTCTTTGAATCCAGGTTCTGCCATTCAGTACATTAGCTACAAAATACTAATTTAAAGCACATCATTAGTACTAAATAGGATGACAAATCCAACAAGCTGAGGAAAGATCTAGGTGAGATCTCAGCAAAGAGCTCTGACTCCAAATAAAAAGAAAAAGTATCCCTGTTGAGTGTGGCAGCCAGGGTTGTGTTCCCTGCAGGGCCGGTTCCCTTCTTTTCTTCTCTCAGTGTGACTTTTCAGGATAGAATTACTTTGTAGTGTTGCTGATAGAAGACAGTTGTCCCTGAAATCTCCCGAACCACTATAAATTAACCCTTAATGAGAACTTGGTAAACATGTGGGTGAGGGAGGGCAGACAAGGTAAGTAGGAGGAATTGGAACCAGGAAAGGAGGAAGACAGTGTCTTGGTATTGGCTCTAAGTCTCTGCCTTACAGTAGCTGATTTGGAGTTCCCTTGAGAGGAAGGGCTCTCAAAAAGGAATAGGTAAAGGTGGTTCTGCCTTGTTGACAAACATTTGTTACAAAGGAATGTGATCAGCTACTTATTGGTGTGTGATTGTGGTGGGAGCTGTGAGATAATCCTTCTGATGGATTTGATTTGATACTGCTGATGTAAGGTCCTGTGATGATATGTTGCCGGGCTCACTATTGCTAGTGAGGATTGAAGTCTAAGGAACTCCATTTTGTAGGTAAGATAACCAAGGTTCTGGGAGGCTACAGATCATTCCCATGGAAATACAGATGATAGTAAGTAGCTGAGGTGGGATTTAAACCCCAGTGGTGTGACGCGAGATTGAACCTTTAACCACTTCGTGAATCTGTTCCTGGGCAGTGGGCTCTAGACCCCTTTATGTACAGCCAGAGTGGGCAGCACAGGCCTTCTCATGTAGCAGGAGCAGAAGGCAAGTAGGGCAGCCAGGATGCAGGGGGAAAGACAGTCAGCTTGGACAGCTGCTGCCATGACGGCAGTCTCCAGGGGTGTGGCCTTTCTCTGAGGGATCTTAGGAAATCCCAGGTGAGTTTCTGGTTCCTGGACCCCTGTACCCTGGTGAGGCTGCACTTCTGCAGCAAGACCATAGCACCCCCTTCCTCTGAGCCCCTCTACAGCACAGACTTCAGGGAGGTATGGTTGTTTCACTTTGCAGGGCCATTTGGCCTGGAGTTGAGTCTGCCCTCTCTGGCCCAGAAGTTCCTCGTGCTGCTGCCACCTCTGTATTCTTTCCTAATGTCACCCATGGCAGTCCTTTGGTCTCAAGACTTGCTGCTGTGGGCTGCAGCAGGCCTTGTCTAGCCTGTGGCTCCCAGGCTCACCTCTCCCACCACCACTCCAAGGGAAATAAATAGTCAAGTAAGAAATGCAACGACTATGGCCTTCTCTTTTCTGCTTTTGGCCTCATCCTACCGGGGCCTATGCACATACACCCTGTTCATAACCAGAGAAACAAAGAAGGGTCTATTGAGGAGAGGCAGGGTAGCAGCTTGGGCTGCTGGGAAACACTCTGGGATAGGGAAGACATGGTCAATCTGGGCCAAAGGGAGGCAACACAAGGCTCTGGGGTGGGCAGGACTTGGGCTGTCACTAACTCACTGGATGGTTTTGGAGGCCTGGGAGCCTTCTACTGCTCTCTGCGCTTTTGTGTCCTCCTTCATCACCCTAAAAGGTGGAGGAAGGGACCATGGTAGAACGATGGATGAGATCTGTTTCAGCTCTAGGATGCTATGACTCCATGCTACCTGCCATGGTGAGGAAGGGCTTCTCTCAGGAACACCATTTGGCCTGAGTGGAGACCTCTGCTTTCTGTGGCTGTTGCTGACATTCCCAGGATCCAGAAGTGCTCAGAGCACAGAACTAATCATATGCTGGCCTTCTCTGCTGGACTCTGACACACTCACAGTCTTATTCTTGGCTTTTCAGAGACTCTCAGGAGGGCCCAGACCCCAGCTGGAGGTTTGGGTGACAGGATGGGATAGAAGCAAGGTAGGAAACATAATTTGCATGGCCTAGTGTAAAAGGACAATGCAAGTCCCCTTATTCAAAAACCAGAAATAAACAAACAAATAAATAAACTCTTTATTGTGGAATACTTTAAAAAAAACACCAGAAAAAAAGTACCATTAAAGATATTAGAATCCTGCATTTTGCTGTGTATAACGCACACTTTTTTGCCCAAATTTTTAGGGAAAAATAAGGATGTACATTTTACATGGGTAGTACTAATTCCCTATCTATATAAATGTTTTTAATTCTTTTATTTATGCTTACGTGTTAAAAGTGTAACTCTAGAAAGCAGTAAGAATATACGTATGCAAAATAATACCCTGGAATACGATAATTGGTTTTGTTGTACCAAATTTCTTGTACTTTGTATCTGTTCTTGTGTTTTATAATTACTTGTTACATAGAATTTTTTGTACCATACTATGTTGAAAAATAAATGCTAAAATTCCTTTACAATACAAAAAAACAAGTATCTAAATAAAAATAAATAAATAAATAA